CTGCTATTCCATGAGTATAGTTTTTTTTGCTACATAGTATATTTTAAGGCAAAGGGCAGGGCCTATGTGCCATGTTGCATAATTTGAAAAGAAAAAGGCCAGCTCTGTTCAATATAGCATGCGCCGACATTGGCCTCTGTCTGTGTAGCCTACCTCGTCAGTCATGAATCTTCTATTATGATCCTGTGTTGAGTAATTCCTGACCTTTAAGAATATCTTAGGAATTTGGATCTTTCTAATTTCCTGTAAATGATAGTGAGCTTTTAGTGTAGTCTAATGTCTTAGACTCCAAAATTCCAAGAGCATATTTATCATATATCATTAAACAGCACATTTTCTAAAGCAGCCATCACCACGTTGTAATGTTTCTGATTGAATTGAAAGTGCATCCTTACAGTTTATCTACATTATAATGAAGCAAGGAGAACAGAATATGAATTTTCTTTCTCAGTAGTAGTTCTTTTTTTTTTTTTTTTGGTTTTCGCCAGCCATCAAACTAAAAAATAACTACAAATTGCCTGCTTAACCATTCTACCTTCCCCCGTTCACCTTTTCATCTGTTTTTTCCCTCCATCTTTCTGAGCTTTCTTCCCATAGTATTAGAGAATGAAGCAAGCTTGCCCAGTAGACAGATGTATTCCAGTGGGTTTTATGGTGTGTTCATGTAAAATCATTTCCTTTTCCTGTATTAAAAAAGAGTTTTAGCCACCATAGAAAACAGTATGTATAAGTGCAAGAGCTTGTATTCATGCTTTATAAAAAAATCTTGGCAAATTTTAATTTAGTAGAAACGTTTTTTTGTTGTTGTTGTGTGCTGTCGATTCTGACTCACAGCAACCTTATATGACAGACTAGAACTGCTCTATAGGGTTTCCTAGACTGTACTCTTTATGGGAGCAGATTGCCAGGTCTTTTCTCCCACAGAGCTGCTGATGGGTTTGAACTGCTGACCTTTTGGTTAGCAGCTGGGCGCTTAACCACTGCACCACCAGGGCTCCTTAGTCAGTACATATCATATATAAAGAGGAGGATTTACAGGTATATTCAAAATATTGTGAAAAAATAATCTTTATGGATTATCTGTTACTTTATGTTAAGAGATAAAAGTAACCTCGTGAAGTCTTCCCTATGCTTTTATGGTTCTAGCATTCTAAATTTATAATCAGGCTCAGACATTTCTTATTTTCTACAAGTATTTGAGTATTATAAGACTTATTTCAGTCCTTTTAAGAACAGAATTGGGCTCAGTAAAAAGATTATTAAATACTTGAATAATTTACCATGAAAATTTGTAGACTATCTTTTGCTGGGTTTACAAAAAAAAAAAAAGATTAAAATCAGGCTATTCTTCCACATCCATATACCATTAACACTACCACCAAGCTGACAGCAAAAATTTGGCTAATATATGCCCCCCATGTAACTGTACCCTTAGATTGTTTTATTTGTTTGTAGAACATTCATCTTGGTAGTGGTTTATAATAAAATATCAGGTAACAGATTGATTGACTGTCATTGTAAACTTTAGGTTTCTATAGTAATTAGAGTATAGGAATAAATTGTTTAAAAAATTCACTTGAAGCTTTCCATTCATAGTCTCTAAAAGCAAATTGAATTCCTATTCTTGTTATCCATAAATATCTTAACTGCTAAGATTTCTAGGACTGTAATAGAGAAAACCAGTGATTTCAGAAAATCATTTAAAAATTATTTTATTGGAGAAATTAAAGTGTTAATAAAATGTGAACCATAACTTTCTGATTATTTTCTTAGATCAAGCTCTCAAATCATTTGTGATTTTTATAAGAAGAAATTTTTTAGACTTGATTCTCATGTCTTGCTCCTTTATAAATCAGAACATCCTATAGTTCTCATCCGCTTATTATTTTTATAAGTTTATAATCAAGTCATACACCATCATATCTTACTATCAAAAACTAACTTTTATAAACCAAAGAGGCAGATTTAGAATGGGACTTAAGGCAGTGTTTAAAATACATGCTTCCGTACATATGTATATCCTGAGGTTATAGTCACATGAGGGGTGAGGGTTGTGTTGTCTTCCTCAGAATTTCCTCAGGATTTTCCACTTGTTCTGCTGTTAGTAAGATTCATTGATTGACCCTGAACCTCTACTTAGTGTGAATAGTTAAAACACTGTGCAAAACAAGTGTTTTTATCAGTGGGTTACAGTGACCATTTACAATAACCCCACTGATTACCTATTAAAGTGATTTATGTACCAAGAAAGTGAGAATAATGTAATTTTTCACATTGAATAGTAGGAAAACAGATTCCAGTAAATCTCCCTATTTATTTGAGGATAAATGTTGATGACTTTTTTGCAAGAACCCTTATTAGTTAGAAATGTTTAAGGATGAATTGTATGTAGCTAGGAACATACTTAAAAAATAATAATAAAACTAAACTTTTTCCTATCATAATGTGACAGCCACCTTAGAAACCTGAAAATATAACTAACATTTACTGACAGCAAATGATAAGCTTTCCATTTACCTTTAAATCAGCCTTTGATCCCCTAGCCAGTTCAGAAGTTGTATCTTTTCATTCAAAAGGGAGGTGATGGCTCACCTGCTTCAGGGATAAGCCTCCTGCGGACAGGGGAGCGCTAAGGCTTCTTTAATAAGTGTTGTTGTTAGCTGCCATTGACTCATGGCGACCCCCTACACAACAGAACGAAACGCTGCCCGAGCCTCAGATGGGTTGTGGATCAGACCTTTGTACTTCACAGGGTTTTCATTGGCTTATTTTCTGAAGTAGATAGCCAGGCCTTTCTTCCGAATCCATTTTAGCCTGGAGGCTCCACTGAAACCTGTTCAGCATCATAGCAACACGCCAGCCTCCACTGACAGTTGGGTTGTGGCTGTGTATGAGGTGCGTTGGCCAGGAATCAAACCCAGTTCTCCCAGAATTCTACCACTGAACCATCACTGCCCCCATAAAGGGGAAAGTTAGGAAGTATGCCTTAGACTCCTAGAATAAAAGCTTTTAATTTTTCTTAGAGCAACGTTTCTTTTAAGGAGCCTGTGTAAGCTTCTGCCTGAAGGTGTTTCTGACTTGCTGGATCAAGAGCCTCTTTTTTGTGCTGGATCTACTCCTGCCTTTCTGGAGCCTAACTCTCCTGACTTGATTACCTCTAGTATCAACTACCTACTGAAACCTGTCTTCTTCCTGATCTTGAATAACTTCTCTGACAGCCACTTGGCCTTCTCAGTGCGTAACTTCATATAGTCTGTCATCTGTGCCTTCTGCTCACCCGTGACATGGTAGCCTGGCTCCATGGCAGGTTTCTCAAGAGCAGACTGTTAATAGCACTGATACACTTAAGTGTTTTCATAGGCAATATATATTGTACGCATTACTGTCACAGAAAGTAACATTAAGATTTGAGATTGGACCTGTTAATTTGAGAATAGCATTATATCCTAAACCTTTCTCAGCCAGCTACATGATAGGAGCTAATTAGAACTTTTTATTAACTGGTACTTAAAACACTTTTGACAAGAACTCTCTGAAAACTAAAGTTAATGTTTTAAAAGTAAAATAGTTGTCATCAGCCATTTTCCCTGTACTGGTCTAGCCAATGGTACATACTTAATTATGTATTTATTAAATGTATGATAGATACCAACATATTTTATGTTTAATTATAAAATGGAAGTAAAAGCATTAGGGTTGCCATAACTAACAAAAATAGAGGATGCCCAGTTAAAATTATATAATATTTTATATTTAATTATTCTCTTTGGTTTCACCAGCATAAGCCATTCAGGCTCCTTTATTTCTAGTTTCTTATTACTATATAAAACATTCTTGAGTTATTTGTTTTATCCACAAGCTAAAAGAATATTTTTATAACAGTCATAAATATGCTTGAGAACAATACTGCTATAGAAAAACCATATCTTATGTTTACCATTAAACACTGATTTTACTTGAACCCAATAGAGCACTTAAAACTTAAATGTTCATTGGCAGTATTACATATACCAGATTCACTTGTTGATGCTAGCCTAGTATATTGAGTAGCATTTGTCTGTAAAAATAAGGTTGATATTGCTATTTTGAAATGCCTAAAATGCTTAATTATTTTATGTATAATATACTAGTATAAGTGAAGTTAAATTTATGTGGTGATGAAGGTTAACTTCCTCCTAATGTTCTGACCTTTAAAAATACTTAAATGTAATGTTAAAAAATTAAGATGAAGATTAAATATAAAATTATTAGACTTATTTTCATGTGTAGCTTATGTGAACCATTTCATTATTTTATAGTTATGGATTTTATATCATCAGAAGTTTAAAAAAATCCCAAAATATAGTAGGGTTACAGCACTATTTCAGATTTCACTCAGATGGTATGTAATACTTACTTACAGAGCAACTCATGATGCAGTGAGACTTCAGCTCTTTTTTAAACCTATGTTGTTGTTGTTAGCTGCCATTGAGTCAGCCCCAGATGCATGGTGACCCGTGTGTTACAGAGTAGGACTGAGCTTCATTAGGTTTTCTTGGCTATAGTCTTTACAAAAGCAGATCCCCAGGCCTTCCTTCCATGGTGCTGCTGGATGGGTTCAGACCACCAACCTTTTGGTTGGTTGCCAAGTGCAAACCAGTAGTCCTGTATAATTTCACCCATACACAAAAAGAATTTTATGTAGATAGTTAAAACACTGTATAATATATGTGAATTTATTACTGATTTACAGTGAACATTGACATTGTACTAGTGCATTCATGCAGGTATTTTCCAACCTAGATATTTGTTTTGCAGGAAAAATAAGTAGAAATTGTTTTTACAATTTGAATACGTAATTCCTGATTAATGTTGATTCTTTCACCAGTTGTTACCACAAAATTGGCTAAAATTAATACTCCTCTGTCAGAACAAGGCAATTTACATTTAGTTTTCTTTGTCTTTTTTGTTTGTTTGTTTTGTTTTATCTCCCCTCCCCAAATTATTTCATGGCATTTTAGTGCTTCAGAGAATTTAGATGAGCTCTCTTCCTCCAGTAGCTGGTTCCTTAACCAGAAGCACAGTAAGAAAAGGAGAAAAGACAGGACAAGACTGAAATCTCCATCCTTGACTATCATGAGTACAGCAGCCCGAACAAGGCCACTTCAGAGTTTCCACAAACGAAAACTCTACAGATTGAGCCCTACTTTTTATTGGACTCAGCAGGTAGGTTGCCTTTGGGAAAACATGAACAAAGATTTACCATCAGTGTGTGTATATTTCACATATAAGATGTAGACTGTCATTAGGTTGTTATCTAGAATAATTAAATCTAGAAAACTTTTAAAAATATAGTTTATAAATGATGTAATAGGTATTGACAATATCTAGGTGGGATTTAATAATTTCTTAAAAATAGCAGTGTCATACTCTGAAAATTCTGTTATTTTTAAAAAAACCCACATTTATACTTAAACTAATTGAAGGAAAATTAGATATTAAGGCGGTTTAAAAAATTTACTGGTAAGGGTATTAACAGAAACACAAACCTATCACATATTTGTCTTGTGAATATTTGATCAGGTAAACAAAATCTGCACAGCTGTCAGTTATTTTGGAGGAAATGGCATTGATCTCCCTTTTAGGTTTGGTATTTGTTAATCCTGGTAAGTGCTCCTTTTTTTCTTCTTTTAGAACATAAGCAATACAATTTTAGATGTTCATGTTTATACTTTATACAAATAAAATGCACTTCATTAAAAGCATTCATTTTGAAAACATACTTTTTATTTGTAAACAAATGTTGGGTATACTTCTTTTAAATCATATCTGAAGCTGTGATGAAGTACAAAATAAGTTATGTCTAGTTCCTGCTGTATGACATACTTTTTTTATTCTTTTAGATTTCTTAATAGCATATGAAAGGAATTGTCCTTGATGCTGTCCAATTTTAAGTTTTGTTTTTATCAGCATCCAATTATAAATAGAAATGTGAATTCTGACAAATTAGTTTTTATTGATAGATTAATTTTTACCATTTAGTTGTTCAGACATTATTAGTATGATTTCCCCAACCTGAATATACTCTAAAAAAATGAGTTTTAGTTTAGAATTAAAAAAAATTTTTTTACATGTCAACATAATGGGAAAAGATGATTTTTATTTAAAGTTTCTGCAAGCAATAGATGAATAACATTTTTGAAATGTGATTTTGTGATTTCATAGTCATAAATAAAATTATCTATCTAACACGTTCTACATATGACTATGCCATAATATTCTTACTAGAAGAAATCTGCTTGAATAATTTTGGTGTTTTTGCTAGTTGTTACTAAAATTCAGTATGTGCCTTGATATTGTAAAGATTGGCCTGGAAAGGTATGAACAATTTTTAAACTTTCAGCAAACAAAGGAAGAAACAAGTTGAAATATTATCGTTAATAATAGACCAGTGTCTTAGTCATCTAGTGCTGCTCTAACAGAAATACCACAAGTGGATGGTTTTAACAAAGAGAAGCTTATTCTCTCACAGTCCCATAGGCTGCAAGTCCAAGTTCAGGGCATCAGCTCCAGGGGACGCTTTCTCTGTCGGCTCTGGAGGAAGGTCTGTGTCATCAATCTTCCCTTGGTCTGGGAGCTTCTCTGCACAGGAACCTCAGTTCCAAAGAACGCGCTTTGCTCCTGGCACTGCTTTCTTCGTGGTATGAGGTTCCCATGTGTCTCTGTTCACTTTTCTCTTTTATATCTCAAAAGAGATTGGATTAAGACACTATCTAATCTTGTAAACCTCTTCAGTATAACCTCATTATAGTGATAGAGTTTATAACACATAAGGAAATCACATCAGATTACACAATCATGCAACACTGGGAATCATGACCTAGCCAAGTTGATACACATATTTTTGGGGGACACAGTTCAGTCTCTGACAACCAGTGGAGTCTCTTGACTGTACAAATGATTAACATAGACTGCTAACCAAAAAGTTGGAGGTTCAAGTCTACCCAGAGGCACCTTGGAAGAAAGGCCTGGTGATCTACTTCTGAAAAATCAATCATTGAAAAACCCTATGGAGCACAGTTCTACTCGATACACATGGGGTCACTATGAGTCAGAGTCGACTTGATGGCAACTGGTAGTTGGGTTAATAGACCAGTGGCTTATTGTTTATTCTCAAATAGTTGTCATTATTATCTACCATATTCTAGTCACTATGATAAGCATTTTTAGTACGTTATTTTCTTTAATTCTCAAACATTTAACTAAGAGATTTAATTAGTCCCATCTTCCAGTATGAAAATTGAGGTTTAGACAGCTAAGTAACTTGCCCAGAGTCACACAGTTAGTAAACAGTAAGTCTGATTTCAGAGCCCATGTTCTTACCCACTACGTTGGTAACAACAAAAATTAACAAATCTTTCATGTACATGAAATCAGTAAATGCAGCATACTTAGAGGTTGGGCAGGAGGCCTGTCTAGTTAGAGGTATTAAGAAATATATCATAAAAAATGGGCTTTGGCAGATGAGCAGAATTTTGAAAGGTTATTGGGGAGAGAAAGCATTTAAGTGAGAAATTGGAATACAGATGAAAAAAATACTGGAGAATACCAAATTCCCCTCCTCCTCATAATTTGTCCCCTAGATTGCCAGGCTAATAAGATTTATCTTTCTAATCTTAATTTAAATGTTATTTCCTGGAAACCTTCCTTGACATCTCCAGTCTGGGGTATATATTGTTATAGCACCCTGTGTTAACCTCAGTTTGTTGGAATTTATCATACCATTCTATAAAAATCCATTTATTTTTCTGTCTTCTCACTAAATTGTAAGTTTTTAGAGAACAGGGACTGTATATTTATTTCTGAATGTCCAGGATCTTGAACAGTACCTGTCTAATAATATGTGTTCAGTGAACAGTTGTTTAATATTTGAAAGAATGAATTTAAGAAGATATTTTAAAGGTAATGGAGAGTGAGAACTTACGATTTCATGAATGTGTACGTGTGTTTCCTAGCTTTGCCCACTAAAAGGGTCTAGGACAATAATGTTCAATAGAACTTTCTGTTATGACAGAAATGTTCTATATCTATGCTGTCCAGTATGGTAGCTACTAACCACACACGGGGTCACCAGGAGTCAGAATTGATTCCATGGCAACTGGTTTTTTAACCACTTGTAGCTATTGAGTAGATGAAATGTGGCTAGTGCAACTAAGGACCTGAATTTTTTATTTATTTTATTTTTATTAACTTTAACTTAAATAGCTAATGTAGGTAGTTGCTACTGAATCGGATAGCACAGGTTGAGACTCAGAGTTATTCTGATAGCAATGAGTATACCTTGTACTCATACTTTGTTTTCTAATACCATTCTGCAGTAAAAGGAACCAGGGATCTTTGGAGAAATGGTTCATCTCCAGGGCTGGGACAGAGAAGGTATAAGATGAGCCTGGAACATCTTAATGTACCAGAAAGCAAGGAAGTACTACAAAAAATGATGGGGGGCATGCCAGAAGAACACAGGAACTAGCTTGAAGAGTCTCTTCACTGATCAGATCTGGGACTGTGTGAGCATCAAAATAAGGACTGTAATGAATTCTAAACCATTAAAAAAAAATAGGAAGTCAAGAGTCCATACTGATAATAGATAAATAGAAAAATAAATAGGAGGAAAGGGATGGCTTTTCCTATAGTATAATGCTGATGAATAAATATGCAGTGAGTGGTGGTGAAATTAGAGAATCATTTTGTAATTATATAAAAATTGATTAGACAAGAGTCATCAATGGATGCCAAATCTCGGGTTGTGCTGGGTGGTAGTTTGATGAGGAGAAGGATATTTGCATGGTCTTAAAGTGTCTCCTTCCAGATCACTTACTAGTTGCCAGGTGGGAAATAGTAACTATGAAGTAGAGAACCTGACAATTCCTTGCCTGAATGATCAAAACTAATGTCGTCTATGAGAAGGATACAGTATTCCTTATATAGTATTCTGCCAAGGGTCCATAACCTGAATTTAATTTATGAGTACATACCAGATAAGGCAAACATGAGAAACATGATATTAAAAAACAAAAACAAAAAAAATCAAATTGGTCTGTATTCCTAAAAAATGTCAAGGTAATGAAAGCCAGCCAGGTAAGGCTGAGGAACTGTTCCAGATTGAGACTAAATAGAAGAATTCTTTTGGAGGGGGAATAAAGAATAATTGGGACAATTGACAAAGTTTGAATATGAATGGTAGATTAGATTAAAATATTGTATCAATATTGAATTTCCTAAATGTGATAACTGTTGCAGTTTTAGAATAAAATACCCTTATTCGTAGGAAATAACACATTGAAATATTAAGGAGTAAAGTGGCTAAGGCATTCATTGTATGTAATAAATAAATTAATCCCTCTTCTGTGCATCTAGAATGGTTCTAGCTATGTACTGTCTTTGAGCAAATTGAGAAAATGGTCATTCAAATAATTTCCTTTAGTACTTAATTCTTGAGTAGCATACTGGTTGAGAAAAAACTGATACAAAGATAATGGAAAAAGATGGGAGCCTTCTGCCTCTAGATCAGAGATGATATATAGTTGGCTGGCTTGAGGATAGGGAGAAGAAGAATCTGAATTGGGTAACAAATAATGAATGACACTGAACTAGAAAAAACATTAATTCTACGGTGCAGAACATGTCTGACTAAATGAGGAAGAGGCAGTAACTTAAGGACCTGAACGCATTCTTATACTGGGAAGCCAACCCTTCTTCCAAGCCACACTTACTTCAGCTCCACCTATTGGAGCATCTGCTCTAGATAGTGGGAGGTATCTTGGTTGAGAACTTCCTCACCTCACTGCAACAGGTCTATACTCCAGGAACATTTGTGGGTTGACTTGAAGGGATAAATTTATAGCATGTGTAACATTATTTCTATGAGAAAATGTGCTCTGTGTAACTGTAGTAAGTGTGGAAGATACCACATTCAAAAGAGCCTAGAAGTTATTTCCTGTGGAGAGGCAGCACAATTTAATGGTTTCATGCATGGGTTTTAGAAGACACTGGGTTGAAATCTTCATTCTACTACTTAATAAAGTGCAGTATTCTGCAAATCACTCATTGCCTTGTTTTGTCATTCATAAAAATAGAGCTGCCTTATAGACTTGTTGATATTAAATAAGATAACTTGCTTGAAAGGTACTTAGCCCAGTGTCTGGCCTAAAAGTCTTCATCAAATG